TGGGGTTGTTGTGCCCCCAGTGCAGGACCCGGCCCTGAGCCTTGCTGACCCTCACCCAGTGCCTGGGCCCATCGACCCAGCCTGGCCAGGGCCCTCTGCAGAGCCTCCCTGCCCCCCAGCAGATCAACGCTCCCGCCCGACTGGGTGTCCTCTGCAAACTGGCTGAGGGTGCCCTCGATCCCCTCGTCCTGATCATCAATGAAGATGTTGAACAGGACCGACCCCAACACTGAGCCCTGGGGACACCACTGGTGACCGGCCGCCAACTGGATTTGACTCCATTCACCACCACTCTCTGGGCTTGGCCGTCAGGAAGGACACGACATACCGTGAATCGACTCCCACAAGGATACAACTCCCGCTGTTGCCCACAGCGCCTTAGACAAACTTCTTGACGCTCTGGAAGTGCCATCAGGCATCCACATATGTCAGTCAACAGAGGATATCTGAGTTGGTGGAGATAACAGAGACCAGGTAGGGCAAGCGATGGGAGCCATCTGGAACCTGTTGACTAAGAATGGGCTAGATATGCCACCTTCTAAATGCCAAGGTCCCGGACAAGAAGTTAAATTCCTGGGAGCATGGGGGAGAGCTGGAGGAATTGCGGTGCCTGACAATACCCTGTCAGCTATGGAGAAGGGGCAGACTCCAGGTAATAAAACAGAATTACAGGAGATGATGGGCACATTGGGCATTTTGGTTACATCACCTGCGTAACTGGACTTTGTGCTCCTCTGCGACACCAACAGTAAAAAGAACCAGTAGGATGGAGGTGGGGTCTGGATCTGCGCCTGAGCGATCCCAGCCGGGGCTGCTATAAAAAGAAACAGCGGCCGCTTCTCGCCTCTCCAGGTGGCAGCGGGTGGGCGCCAAGGGGCTGGGTGCCACGGGAGCTGGGAGCAGCACCCCGACCCCACGCCTGCCACGGGGCGCAGGTAACGCTTCTCACTGGGGCTCCGGGGGGTTTGCTCCTGGGGGGTGACGCCGCAGAGCTGCGGGCTGCCGGGGCCGTGCTGCCAGGCGCTGGGGACACGCGCCTGTTGGCAGGGGTTAACGCAGGGAACGGGATCGGGGTCTTGGCTGGTGGCGGAACGTGTGCTGAGGGGGTGCCCCTGGCTGGGGATGCACCTGGGGTGCTTTCCCCCAGCCTGCCCTGCTTCTCCCCGCAGCCCCCTCCCAGGCCCCGCTGCCCTCCCCGAGCTGACCCTGCTCTCACTCCTCCACCTCCCCAGCCGCTTGCGGAGGAACCGGCTGCTTCCCTGCCCGAGGCACCAGAGCCGCTGGGGGCTTCCCTCGGGGTGGCTCTGCCCACCATGGAGCATCTGGCGCTGGGCTTGGTGCTGCTGGCTGGGACCCTGGCCACCGGCAGCCCCCTGCACCGGCGAGACCTCAAATCCGTCAAGGAGATGGCGCTGGACATGGTCCCCACCTCCTTCGATGACCAGTACTGGGGCTGCAGCCGCATGATGGAGGAGGAACTGAAGGAGCTCAACCGCACTGAGTTTGCCAACAACAGCGTCTACGCCGAGGCCTGGACCAAAGCCACCACTGAATGGCGGAACCGACGGGGCCATTTCGCCCAGGCGCCAGCGCTGCGGCCGGAGCACGCGATCGCCCTCCTGGCGTACACCCAGCAGGGCCCCCTGTTCCGCGTGTTCAACGCAGCCGTGCGTGAGGCCGGGC